TGCGATTTTTGTTAATAAACGGCTTGGCGCCTGAAAATCCAGGGCGGCGATATTAAAACTGCATGGGGGCTAAGGTAAAAAAGCAACAACAGGCGCAGCCGCCGGCGCCCCGGATATTACGTAACCCGAAGCGCCCCGTGCTACCATGTGAACACTATGACGCCTACGTTCGTTTTTTTTTTAAATTTATACACTAAAGACACGATGGGCGACAATAATTTTTGACTATATGGAATCAGGCGCGTCTCCCGGCGCCCCGGCAGGAAGCGATTTGGCGCCCTGAGATATCCTAAGGTTGTGTTAAAGAGCACTCTACAATATTGACCCTGTGGCACACGACATTCGATGACAATTCGTTTGACCCGATGCGCCACTGGCTTCGGGAGGAACACTATGAGTTTTAAAAGAGCGCCCTACAGTAGGGAAATTTTTTGTCTACTGCACCACTGGCGTGTGGTCTAGCGCCCCTGTGTGGGTCCCTCATAAACACTATTGCGCCTACGTTCGTTTTAAAGAGTGCGATACATTATGGATACAATGGGCTACTGTGTGCGGTAGAATTTGCGCCTCAACAACTATGATGAAAGCAATATAACACCGGCTTTGATTACATTTAAATTGTTTAGATTTAGAAATCAATGTCAAGCGTAAAAAAATACGTGATTGCTAATGTAATTATGGAATCCTCTTAAAATATTGCGTCAGTCTGTCTTCTGAGACCGCAGCAACGCGCGGGACGGGTACGCTGGTTTAATATATATTTCTTCTATATAAATAATTATCTTCATGGATACCATAGAAAACACCAAGCTGTAAGCGCCCCTAGCAGCCCCCTCTCTTTTTCTCTATCCCTACCACCCCCATCCCTACATGGTCTGGTGAGCTGTGGTTCAAGCTAAATGTTTACAATCGTAGAGCTGGGTTTAGTGACAGCTATTAGGGGCAGATAATTTAGTTTGAAACGATTTTAAACTTAGTGGAGGTAACTCAGAGGGGGCTGCTTTCACGAGGAGGGGGGGGGGGTAGGATTTTTGGGAAAGGAGGGTGGGGAGGCGGGGGGGTTATCGTCCTTAACGAGCTACTGATAGTGTTTTAAAGCAAATATTTTCAGTGGCAGCATTGTTACTGTCAAATTCACAAATTATGAATTACTGAAAAGTAGAAAATGAAACAACTAAATAGCGGCGTATGATAGCGGCTCGTAAAATATAAAACACAATGTAAATACCTTTGTTATACCTACGGAAAATAATAATATGTAACATGGATTCCTGAAATTTTGCGCTGCTTTAATTTTTAACGTTGGGATCCTCCATCAACATCCATACTCTCCTTTAGTATGTTCAGGCTTTTTTTTTCATTTATGGGAAGGGATGATCGGAAAGTGTGACGACACATTTTTGCTTTCATCCGTTATTTCGGGCTTTAAAAGATTGCTTTTGGTATTAATTCATTTATTAACTCAATGTTTATCGAGGTCAGTACATATTATAATAAACCGGGAGTGATCTCCCCTAAACTTTCTCGAATATTCTAATATAACACTACGGGGAATGGCAACTCGGGATATAGACATGATTTTTAATCCATTTTAAATACTTAAACTTTTTAAAATAGAATAAAACCTCGTAGAAAAAAGAATTGCACACCAAGTGAACGTCAAATAAAGATGTGCATAATAGTGCGCAACATTATTAGTACTTTATAAATTTACGTGCGTTTTTTTGAGAAATCGGAAATAGCGTAAATTAGTACTTTCTGTCAACGGAAATTACTCAAAATTTGACAGAAGGTAGAGAATTAGATCTTTTACTTACATGTGAAATTTCATTTATCTATCTGCAATAGTACTCAAGTTATAGGCTTTTGAAAAATTCAAAGTAGAAAAAGTACCACTTTCGGTTATCGGAAATCACTCAAAAGTTTATACGGATCTATGATTTTGATAAAATACTTATATATGAAATTTCATCAACCTAGCTGTAACGGTACTCAAGTTATCGTGTTTACACACAGACACACACAGACACAGACATACGGACAAGATTGCAAAATTATGTTTTTCCGTATCAGTGAGGTGTAAAACGTCGAGATTTGTAAAAAATCTCGATTTTTTTTTTTGCACGATTACAAGACTTTCTCTATACTTCGTATATACGAGAAAGTAAAAATGCAGTTTCAGGGGAACGGCGGAGGGGGTTATGTGTTGAGGTGTAGTGTTTTTAAAGAGAGTGGTGGGGGGGGGGGGGGAAGCGAAGATCTGGCTTTTTGTGAAAATTTGTTACAATTAGAGAAGGGGGGTTTGGTGCAAAATCGTCTGAAGAGTGAGTCGTGGTTAATGGGTGACCACTTTATGATTGTATATTGACGTCACCATCATTTTGGGCGGTGGCTTTATGTGACGATATGTAACGAGAAAAAAGAGGGTTGAGTTAATGGCGTAGCATTTATTTTGCATTTTTTAAGGATACAAATAATAAAAAAAAAATTTCATAAAAAACGTTTTAATAACAAGCTTTTATGTAATGATGCACTAAAAAGTAGAAAATAAATTATACACTACTATTTAAATTACTATAAAGAAAAGCGTGGGTCACTTTAGTACTTTAGTACCTATTGGATACCTTTACTAATATTTGAGAAGAGACCCACGCTTTTCTTTATAGTAATTTAAATAGTAGTGTATAATTTATTTTCTACTTTTTAGTGCATCATTACATAAAAGCTTGTTATTAAAACGTTTTTTATGAAATTTTTTTTCAGTACTTTACATGTTTTATTTGCAATAGTATTACAAGACTAAAAACCATTGCGCGTCTATTGAACGTGATAGCGCAGCTATTAAACCTGATTGAACGTGATGACGTATGTGGTGTGGTTGGATAGACATGCCTACTAATTCGGTCCAAATTTTAATTAATTTATAAAAAATTAATTAGGCATCCAATTAAGTCAAATTTAGATTCAAATTGCATTGTCTTCATGTCTTGACCCACATGCCAACTGTGAATCGTATCGGTCAAGTAGAAGTTTCCGAATGTTCACTCCTGCGTTTCTATCTAGACAGACAGACTGTCGACTGACGACTGACGACAGAGGAAGTGAGTTAAATAAAAGCTTGTAAACACTGCTTATTTTGTTTTACATGTGTGACGACATTGTGTTAACCAAATGTATTGAATAGTAGGACTTACAGATTATTAGTTCTCTCCCCCCCTGAAGCAATTACCCCCTGTCATTTACCCCCCGCCAAGGAGGACATCTCCCCCCCCCCCACGCACACACCTCTTAAGGTACAGCTGGGGTTAGGGTTATGGTTAGGGTTACGGCTAGGGTTAGGGTTTGGGTTAGCGTTAGGGCTAGGGTTAGAGTTAGGGTTAGCGTTCTGGCTAAGGTTAAGATTATGGTTAGGGTTACGGCTAGGGTTAGGATTAGCGTTAGGGCTAGGGTTAGAGTTAGGGCTAGAGTTAGAGTTTGGGCTAGGGCTAGCGTTTTTGCTAAGGTTAGGGTTATGGTTAGGGTTAGCGTTAGAGTTAGGGCTAGAGTTAGGGCTAGAGTTAGGGTTAGCGTTCGGGCTAAGGTTAGGGTTAGCGTTAGGGCTAAGGTTAGGGCTAGGGTTAGATTCAGAATTAGAGTTAGTGTTATGGTCAGGGTTAGGATTAAGGCTAGGATTAGGGTTAGTGTTATGGTCAAGGTTAGGCTGAAACCTAAGTCTAGAGTTGGTTTTGGTTATGTGTTAAGTTTTAGGCTGAGGTGAATGCTTAGGGTTTGGTCATTTTTTTATCGATTAGGATTAAGGAAATACATAGGTATAGAGTTTGAGTTAGGATCATAACTTGAGGCCGGGGGGGGGGGGGGGGGATTCTCCAGGGGGGTTATTGACAAGGGGTAATTGCCCCGGGGGGTAAATACAGGAGGGGGGGTCTCCTCCGGGGGGGGGGAATTGACGGGGTGGGGGTAATGTCATGTAGCCAGGTCCACTATTAGAAAGCCAAGATTCCAAACTGTGTAGCCTTATGTATGTAGGTAATCTAATCTCATACAAGTTCTTGAAAGCAACATCAAAGACGAGAAATAAAAAGAGCCATCGTTGTCGGCTTATTTAACAGGGAAGTCTTAGTCTAAATCAATCCACGACAATGTCTTTAAGACAATAAACCTTAACTTTGCTTGAAATAACAATATCGTTCTTCATTCAGTCAAACTCAACATTATGGCTTCACTGAACTTTGTCATTGAAATGCATGTGTAGTTTGAAATGTGTGTCTGTTAAAATTGTACAGTTGATACCGAATATATCCAGTCTTTTTCTTCTTCGTTCAGCTGCTTTTCTTTCTGGATTTCTTTTCTTATCTTTTGTCAATCCAAGAACAAGTGTTGTATCCCCAAGATAGGTTGCTATCCCCAACTATAGAGCCTCATCTACACGGGAGATTGAACTCAGGACTTCTCGGTTTAGCAACCACGAACTTTACAAGTTCTTGATTTTGGTATTGGCGTGTCAGTTTTCTTCTTTATTTAGTCGACATCTAAAGTTAAACAAAAACAGTTGCCTACCTCAGCAAACATCAATGTAGGCCAATTATGGCCAGTGTAGCAATTAGCAACATCAAAGTTGATTTGAATTCCATGCAACACTAATTCCATACTTCTCTAGTGTGGAGGTCTTGCTTATTAATATTATCCTGTTTGTTTGATACTTTTCTTTAACTTAATAATAATAAACATAGGCACTTTTTGCCTGGAGTACAAACTGGGTCACAGTATTCTCTGGTAAACAATTCTATGGTAAACAATTAAGTTCTTTTCCAAATATATGCTCAGAAACAGCATTCCTAGATTATTTAATTTTTTTTTTTTTTTTTTTTTTAAAGGGCTTCAGCTGTTTTAATGTCAACTTGTGCTGGGAATACTATAACTACATACAACCCTTTTCAGCTTTCAATCACTTGCATCTTATGTACAAAGTAAGAAAACCAAATACATCAAATTTTGAGAAATAATTTATTTATGAAACAATTGCATATAATTATAAAGTATAAAGCCAAACATTAATATATCAAGATTATTGCAATTATCACCATTTGCAGATTCTTGTTTAACTATGGTAGATGGAAGTATTAGTTGCCTTTTACATCACTTTTCACTTCCTGAAACAAAACAAAATGATTTTCTTAATCATCCATCTGAAATAATAAAATTAGCAAAAAAAAAATCTTTAGTTTAAATTAGTTGAATACATCAAAACAAAACAAGAAAAAAGTGATTGAATGAGATGAATCATGGCATAGATATCTATAAAATTTTGCTTTAGTGATAAAGGGGGAAAAATTTAAGTTATTTTAAGTGAAACATAAGCTAGAGAAATAAACTATTAGGCCTAATTTAAATAATTTAATTCCTTTCTCCCAAAACACTACATGTATCCTTAAAAAAAGAAAACTTAAAATTTATCAATATTTACCTTGTGTATAAACTCTTCTGTACATCTACTGTATCAGCTTGACGCTCATTAGGTATGCCTAGTTCCTGTTGAGCAGTTAAGACAGATTAAGTAAATAATTCAAATTTGTAAGACAAACCACTAAATGATACTGTTTTATATATATATATATATATATATATATATATATATATATATATATATATATATATATATATATATATATATATATCCTTCCTGCAAATCAGCATATTTTGCAAAACAAATATTTAAAAAAATACATAATGATATTGTATCAATCATCACCACTGACTTGGTTTTACTAGGTAAAATATTTTTTTAAATACAATATTTATACAAATAAAAACCTATCTCAATCAACATGTTCAAAATAAACCAAAGCAAACTTGTGATAACTTACCTGATTAATGTTTGAGAGGATTCACCCAGTTCTCGCCACTGAAGCAGATTAGATGCATGTGTTATTACACTTGTGATATACTGATTGCCATTTTGTGTACTTTTAGTCCTGGAGATCTATGTTGTAGGCATAGACTGTTAAACCTGGATAGTAATATTATAGAAGTAAATTATATCTAGTATAATATAAATATTTTAAAATATAAATGACACTAAATTATATTTATCATTATTGGAAATAAAAATGGTACAATTAAGTTATAAAAAAACAAATTATAAAATTTAAAGCAGCTTATTAATAATTGTCATACCTTTTCCTACTTTTATGTCAAATGTAAGAGGTAATAGAGAAAGAACATCTTGTGTCATTTAGTATGCTGTAGTCTTATTACTGGTAAAAATCAGATCTTCCCTTTTTTTTGGATGAACCTGTAAAAGAGAAATTACAACATGGATAAACACAATGAATATCATATCTAATCCTCAACTAGTTATCACCCCAATCCTAACCTCATTTTTTAAAACCAATTTATAAATATGTTTTCAGAACAAATGTATGTTAAGTCTACCTATTTTAATGTTCAGAATACTAATATTTATCAAAACTACCTCCAGTTGAAATTCAAGATACCTTTATAAAAAGTTATTATGACTTTAACTTTGTGTAGTTGTTATTTAGGCTATTTGTTTAATTTATATTATTTAAATTAATATTTCATGCCTTGTTTTAAAAAGATCTACAAGTCTACTTTTGATTTTATGGTATAATCTGAGGTGGATTGTAATGACTGACGAGAAGCCGCGTTGGTTGTTAACAGTCTTTATTATGTACAGACGCCATGTTGCAAAGAGAGGAAGAGGAAGCAGGTGGCGAGAGAGAACTATTTATAGATAACAACATGTAAGGGACATCACTCAAGATAACAATATAAATATAATACTAATACAGAGAGTGAGTTCCCTTGACCTCACAATTAACTCAATCTATTACATCCCTTTACCCTTAGAACACAATAACACATCTCTCAATAGAACAATTGATAGTATCCTAAAATCACCAATTATATTGTAACATGAACACTATGGTAGATTACATCCTTACAAACAATGCACAATATGCTACAACATAATCAAAATACAAAACAATAATGTCAAAGTCCTTTTGACCTTTAGAATCATAGGTCTAACTTATTTGGGACTTTGATTGTCCTGCTTGACCTTCTCAGTGGCTTCTGATTTGGTGACTCAAGATTCTGACCATCTGGATTCTCTATCTCAGGAGGTCTAGGATTTAAATCATTAACTCCAGAATTTACATTTTCTGACTCCAGACAACCTGGTTCACTCATATCAACAGAACTTGGTTGTGGAACAAACTGAGTTGGTGTGAACTGTTCAGATTTGGTGGGATTGATAGATTCACACTTATTATCTGCACAAGTTATTTTTAACTTTATAAGGCACAGGTCCTGTACATTGAACAATTTGACCTGGTATCCATTTTTCCTTTCTCCCATAATTTCTTAGATACACATTATCATTAATACCAAATTCTCTTTCAATGGGTGTTCTGTCATGATTGACTTTTTGAATTGGCATCTGAAAGTATTAAATGGCAAAAATCTTTTTCTCTTTTCTTTTGATGTTACCCTTTTAGTTTCTGTAAGTGCTAATGATGTTAGCAAAGTTGTTTGATGATCACATTCCTTCTTACTTAAAGCATTTGAAATTGCCATATCACCATAATCATTTATTAAGTTACAAATACTTTGTTTAGGTAGCTCTGACTGATAATGGACTGCATCTTCTCCATCTTTTATATTATCTTCACAAAGGTTTTTATTTCTTATTTAATATGGCCTTAAGTCATCATTCACAGACTTTTCAGGCCAACCATTCTTACAGTACTCATATACTTTTATTAAGCACTCATCTTTTTGTGTTTCTCTTTTAATATCATTCACATTTATATTGGAGTTATCCATGATAGTGAAGAGAACAAATACATCTGGTACATAGCTCAGGCTTTGGTTTTTTAAAGGTAATCTACTAAGACTATCTGCACTATTCTCAGATCCAGGTTTGTATTTCAATTCATAATTGTATGCAGTTAGTGTGATAGCCCATCTTTGAATTCTTGGTGAGGCATGCTCAGGTAGGGTTTTGTTTTCTCCAAATAAACCTAGCAATGGTTTATGATCTGTAAAGATGGTGAACTTCCTACCAAACAGAAACTTATGAAATTTCTTAACACCAAAAATGATGCCTAAGCCTTCCCTATCTAACTGAGAATAATTTTTCTCAGCCTGATTCAAAGATCTACTGGCAAAAGCAATGGGTCTGTCACCCTTCTCATCCATGTGGGACAAGACTGCTCCTACACCATCTGGTGAAGCATCACATGTCAATACAAGTCTTTTCCCTGGGTCATAGTGAGTTAGTAAGGTGTCAGTAGACAAAGCCTCTTTTGCTGTATTAAAAGCAGCTTCTTGTTGTTTACCCCAGTGCCAAGTTGCATTTTTCTGTAGCAGCTTGTACAGTGGTGATAGTTTACCAGACAGATTTCCTATGAACTTTGCATAGTAATTTATTAAGCCCAAAAAAGCTCTTAGTTGTTGGGTATTTTCAGGTTTGGGTGCTTCTTTAATGGCTTTTGTTTTCTCAGGTTGAGGTCTGATGCCTTGTTTGCTCAATATATAACCAAGAAAACTAATTTCTGTCAGCATGAATTGACATTTATCTTTGTTTATCTTTAAACCTTTTTCACCAACAATTTTCAATACTTTATCTAGTGTTTTAAGATGTTCAGTGTCATTCTTACCAGTTATGTACACATTGTCAAAGTACACACAAACATTTGGAATATCCTTAAAAATACTGTCCATGACAGCTTGGAAAATTCCAGGGCTAGATGATATGCCAAAACATAGTCTTTCATATTGGTAGAGTCCTTTATGTGTGTTTATTGTCGTATAGACTTTTGAATCTGGATGCAGTTCTAGTTGAGTGTAAGCATGACTAAAGTCTAATTCAGTGAATTTGTCTCCTCCTGCCAAATTCAAAGAAATTTCCTCAATGTTAGGTATAGGGTACCTATTTAGCTCTATTTGCTTATTCAGTGTAGTTTTATAATCTCCACAAATTCTTATAGAACCATCCTTCTTTAACACTGGCACAATGGGTGTCGCCCAATCGGAATAGTCTACCTTCTTTATAATGCCATTAGATTCCAATCTACTTAGCTCATTTTCAATTTTATTCCTCATTGCATAAGGTGGAACTCTAGCTTTGCGGTATCTTGGATTTGTGTCTTTAATGCTTAACTTCACTGTTCTATCATTTAGTAATCCATGATTACCAAAAACACATTTATTTTCAGATATTACTTTATCTAGTGAAGTAAGACTAGATTCTTTTACATTCCTCAATGAACAAATACTCTCATAATTTAACTTAAGATCACTTAACCAGTTCCTACCTAGTAATGGCGGTCCATTTCCTTCAACCACAAGAAGAGGAAGTTTAACACTTTGACCATTATAACTTACATGAACCATACACTCTCCTATTACCGGAACATTGTCACCAGTGTATGTTGTTAGACACTTGTGACATGGCTGTAGAGACACTGATCCTCCTGTGACAGCGTCAAAATCTTTCTTCGTTATTACTGTTAGAGATGCTCCAGTGTCAAGTTGGAAGCTGATGCTCTTACCGTTGATATTAACTGGTACATTGATGGGAGCATGACTTATTGATTTAACAGAGAACAGGTTGAAATCCGGCTGCAAATCAATTTGAGCATTTTCACAGGTAGAGTGGTTCATTGGTTGGGTTAGGTAGTCTTGGTGAGAGTTAACATAGTGCTGCTTTTGGTTGCGGTACTGTCTTGACTGGCTAGATTTAGCAACAGACGAAGACTTTGCAAAGCAGGCCTTGGCAATGTGACCTTGCTTACCGCACTTATAACAAGTTGCAGACTTGAACTTGCACCGATGAGATGCATGGGGACCTTTGCATCGATGACATTTTTGATAATTATTACTAGATTTAGATCTAGGATTTGAACGAGCAGGCTGTTTAGCATAAGTTGGAATGCTCTGATGGGGTTGATGTTTATTGACTAACCTGCTGTTTACTGCATGGATCTCTGAAGGTGCTAAAGATCTCGCCGCATCTGATGACTGCTGGAATGACATTGCAAGTTGTATTGCATTTTCCAATTTTAGATCTGACTCGAGCAGCAACTTTCTTTGAATATCAGGGCTGTTTACACCTGTCACAAACTTTTCACATAGTCTGTCAGACAGCGTATCGCCGAATTCACAAAATCTACTTAAATGACGTAAAGCAGCAACATATTCTGTTATTGACTCGTTTGGTTGACGAGTCCTACTGTCAAATCTAGCTCTACATAGAAACTTTGATGGGGTAGGCGCATGGTGGTCTGTTAGCAATTTGCTCAGCTCGTTAAAGCTCTTGGTAGTTAGACTAGCTGGTGCGCATAAGTCTTTTAGTAGCCTGAATTGTTGAGGCCCTATGACCGTTAACAAAACAGCTCTCTTTTTGGCTTCTATCGTCACGTCGTTAGCTTCTAGGTAAAAGCTTAACCTCTCTAGGTAATCTTGAATGATTTCATCATTCGCATCAAATTCTTTTATTTGGCCATACAGCGCCATAATTCTAGAAATAATTAGCTAATAAGCTCTAGCAAACCTCTTTTTTGCGTAAGTAGGTGCTCTTTCTAGTAGATGTTTATCCTTCGTCGCCAAATGACGTGGATTGTAATGACTGACGAGAAGCCGCGTTGGTTGTTAACAGTCTTTATTATGTACAGACGCCATGTTGCAAAGAGAGGAAGAGGAAGCAGGTGGCGAGAGAGAACTATTTATAGATAACAACATGTAAGGGACATCACTCAAGATAACAATATAAATATAATACTAATACAGAGAGTGAGTTCCCTTGACCTCACAATTAACTCAATCTATTACATAATCTGATAAAAATTAGGCTGCTACACAGTGGCGTAGCGAGGTCGGGTGTCACCCGGTGCGGCACTAAATGGTGTCACCCCCCAGAGGCGTAGCGACCCTTCCCGGGGACAAATTTTCAAGTTTTCGATTAGCACCCCCCCCTTAAACTTTCGATTTTGCACCCCCCTCAAGTTTTCGATTTGCACCCCCCCCCCTCAAACTTTCGATTTGCACCCCCCCCCCCTCAAGTTTTTCTCTATATATTTTGCTATTTTTTGCCTTGGTGTCACCCCCCTAAATGGTGTCACCCGGTGCGGTCCGCACCCCCCGCCCCCCCCCTCGCTACGCCCCTGCTGCTACATCTGAAAACTAAGGTCAATGCAAAGACTTCCAAATTAACGATAAGTAGGCTTGTATAGATATTGTATATAATTACTAGCCCAATAGTATTACTCTACGACCAATGTATAGGACTTAATGTATCAGACCTAATTCCTATAATTAGGCCTACTAATTATTAAATAATTAATAGATCTAACAGTAGGATAATTACAATTATGGGCCTTAGCTGACATAGAGAGCTGAATACTTAACTAAACATTTTTAAAAATTATAGTAAGCTAAGTGAGTTGAATTATTTTATTTAGATAGGCCTATGCTATAATATACTCTATAGCAGTCTATAGTGATAGTCGCAGAGTAGCGTATATCATAATAATTTCAAATTAAATCTATAAGCAACATTAAGCCTCTGCCTTGTTGCCTAATTAAAAACTAAAGCCTATTAAGCCTTTTCCTAATAAGCCTTTGGCCTAATTTAAATAACAGCCTATAGGCCCTATAATATATAAATAGGCTAAACTACTTGTAAGACCTAATAGACTAATGACTAAGAGAGTGCTAGGCCCCTTTCCGATATTATATAATAATTGCTTGATCGATATCATAATATCTAACACTGATTACATTAATTTACATAAGGCTATACCATCTTAACTATGACTAATACTTTTTCTACTAATAAAATAGGCTATCTCTAGTTTAAACTTAGGCCTAATAGTAATTAGTAATTATAATTAAGTAGGCCATTTTATGACATTTATAAAATTTTTAGTAGATGGCCGAGCCTTAAATTTAAATACTAAAATAGATTTAGCATACTATGCCTATTGTTGGTCTAATTAATAATTTATTTTTCATTTAGAATTTTAGATCTCCAAAAGATAGGCCTAGGTCCTAAATAAATTATTTTTATTTTATTGAGCCCGCCTTAATGTATAAGATGTGATCTGTTTTTTTAATAAAAATAACCCTACACAATACTAGTGATTTAACTAATATCTAGTACTACTTTAGGCCTATTTAATTATTTATTAGTAGGCTGAATAAAATCTAAAGCTATAAGGCCTACTTTATTACTATATTTGCCTATTATTCTATAATTAATTTATGTTTTCTTTCAATACATAGTAGATCCTGTGGTACCTCAACATTCTAGTGCCTCGACATACCAGATTTTTTAAATACGAGCAGTTGAGCGAGTAATATTTCGCTTTGAGTTACGCGCAAAATTTGAGATACCGTATTTCACAGTTCATGTAAAAGAAATACCCCCAAAAAGATGCAAATGATTATTTATCGCAGCTATTTAATTATAATAAGCGTCTTACTCATATTTGCAGCATTATGAAAGGGAGAAAGAAATAAACTTCCTAAACAAGTTTTATTTTAAGCTACCAGCACATGAAAGTGACTTAAATTAAGCATGGCAAAAAAGAAGAGAAAAGCTGTCACGAAAATTAAGCTAACGTAATAATTTTATTTAGTATTTAGGCCTTACGTTTAAGTCTTAAGTGCAACAATGCTCAGTGAATTTTAGCCATTAATGGCATTAAGTTTAGGAATGATGTGTACTTGTGTAATGTGTAGCTTTAACTTTAGTAGATTATATTTTTAGACCTAAGCCTAATCTTGTAGATATAGATCTACAAACAATTTGAAATAGAAGAGATTTAAAATTGAGTAGATCTAGATCCTAAATGCTAAAGGACAGCTATGCCACAGAAATAATTATCTTTCTATCTAGTCAATCTAGATTCTAGACTAGATCTAGTGCTACTGAAAAATTACTAGAGTCTAGATTGTCTAGATCTAGATTCTATCATTTACTTTCGACGCACTAGGCATACTTTTAACTTTTTCTCTCTAGTCAATAATGTAGATTTCTAGATCTAAATGTAAATCCTGATCTTGTAGATTTGATTTACGTAGGTTTTACATCAGTGTAAATCGTTGATCAAGTAGATCTAGTCTAGATCTGGACTAGCTCTCGTCAAAACAAAATGGCTGGAATATTAGCTTCAAAACACCTACAGTTTATGCTTTCCTAATTGTGGAGAGCATGTTTAATTATTGTTTTATTTTCAACGACAGTGTTGACTGAGAAACCACCAAAGGGTTTTATTCTCAGCGACACAGTCGGAGAGAGGCTCAACGATTCTGTCGTTGAGATGATCCGCATGGGGTGTTTTTGAGGTGTTTTTTTTTCTAATGAAATATAGTCCACTTACGTAAAGGAAGATACATGTGGAATTTTAACCCATTTAAAATGAAGCTATTTCACACAAACTCTGCAGCTATATTATACTTCGATGGCAATGCAAGGATATCTATTATTTTTTTTAAATCTCGTTAGCAATTAGGTTAGTTATTAAAATTTAATTTAAAAACGACTGAATACAATAATGATAGGGGAGACAACATTAAATACTAGCTATCGTTAAAAATGAACCTCGGTTGAGCATCCGGACCCACATTCATTATAAGTTAATTATTTAATATTAGATCGATTTAAAAAAAAAATATGCTATATTATTTAAGTTATTACATTATTAAATAACCAAACGAGTGAAATGGCATAACAATTCATTCAAAAAGCTTGTGGTTTGTTTTTTTACTCCTGATAGGCGATGATGCAAACTTTGACAACACGAGCGAAATAAGGGTTAGTTAAAATTTGTATAGCCCCGATCGTGTTACATGAGATTACGTGTATGTGTGCCGCCCCCACCCCCAATCAAGCCATCCAAAAAATATATAAACAACTCGCACAAGAAACCTTTAAAGTTAAACATTATTTTGTTTTTTGACTTTAAACATATAAGCATGACGTGATTCATTATATCCCTACTTAAAGCCAGAGTTTCTTCCAGGCATCTCTTCGGGGGGGGGGGGGGGGGACAAGCCCCCCCCCCCCCCCCGAAAATTTCAAGTGCCCCCCCCCCCCCCCCCCCGGAGAAAAAAGTCAGGAAGAAACACCGCTTAAAGCGCTAAACAAATAACGCTTTCTTCGAATTAGGCCTACTTGTCGGTAAAAACATTCACTGAGATAAGGGAAATAAGTTTGTAAAAAACGTGTTTTCTTAAGAAAAATTGAGTTCTTTTTACAAACAAAGGCTTTTTATTTAAGTTTTTTTTTTCAACCTTCATATCATTTTAAAAACTGCAGTTGATAATTTCTAATTCTAACTTGAGACACAAAACATAGAGCCTATTTAAATTAAGCCTCTTCACCACCTTTGTAGCACACAGTGTTTCTTCTATACTTTTTTCCCGGGGGGGGGGGGGGGGCACTTGACATTTTCGGGGGGGGGGGGGGGTGGACACTGTTAAATGTATATATTTTCTATATAAATTCCATTTCGTTCGGGGGGGGGGGGGGCGGATGGCTCCTTGGGGCCTGGGCCTGGAATAAACTCTGGTACCACAGCAACTTTTTAACTTGTATTTTCTTTCTGATGAGCAAAACTTCAAAATGTTGTGACATTTTTTATCCATTACACATTCTGTTATTACTGAATTATGGCTACAAAAAGTGACTCATAGGTTTAAATTATGCTTTTTGACTACTTGGGGGTCGTCCATAAATGACTTCACACTCGTAGGGGGGAGGGGGGGTCCGTTATTTTGTGACGGTATGTGATGAGGGGGAGGGGGGGGGGGGTTCAGATGGGTTGACGTCACACTTTAGCATTATAAAAAACAATGTCAGAAAACGAGTTTTAGCAGTTATTTCGCGTTTTACAAAACGGTTTTTAATAAATTGTAATAGGGATTCATCAACAGACTCTATGTTGACATAGTTCTGACAAGATTTTGGAAAAATATCGATGTTTTAAGAAAAAATCAACAGCCATTTTAAGGGGGGTTGTAGACTGAGGCGTGACGTCATTTTAGGCTTTTTGTTACGATGTGTGACGGAGGGGAGGGGGGAGGTAAAAATCGTCAAAAAAGCGTGACGTCATTTATGGATGACCCCTTGGGTAACGTAGTCTCTTTATTTAGGTCTAGATCTGGCGATAAAGTAGTAGTCTATTGTCATATGAGTGCTATGAATAATGTTGCTTGTGCTATTTTAATTTTAGCACTAATTTAGAAAATTGTAAAATCAATATTTTTAGTTAATTTTACCATTTTTTTTCATTTTACATGTTAAATTGGTGGCAGTGTTTCTTCCAGACTTTTTTCTCCGGGGGGGGGGGGGGGGCACTTGAAATTTTCGGGGGGGGGGGGGCGGTAGACTTTCTTCGGGGGGGGGGGGGCGGACACTGTTAAAAGTATATATTTTCTATATGAAATTATATAAATTTCATTTCGTTCGGGGGGGGGGGCGGTAAAAAAAATTCGGGGGGGGGGGGGCAAAGCCCCCCCGAAGAGATGCCTGAAAGAAACTCTGATTGGTGGAAAAAATATTTGAGAGAGGTTGAGTGGGTATTTTAGATCTAGATCTAGATAAAAATTAATTAGGTTTTCCTAGTCAAAATCATTCAAAAGGGGTAAAATTTTAGGGTAACTAGGTAGCCTAAATAGTAAATAACATATTCAAATTAAGGGGTAGTCTGACTAGTTAAACTGAAGGGCCATTACTATGTAAGGTGAATAAAAAATAATGCGCCTCTAGGCTTGCTTGAAAACAAACGTTTTTTTAGGAGTAATACTAATGAAACAAATTGCTTGATTTTTTTTTTTTAATTTGTTTCGTTGCAAATTTGTTAGACAATTTGCAGTGCGAGATATTTAGATTTCATCTTGTCGAAGCACTTCCGGCGTTGGCGGCATTGCTGGTACCGCAATTTATACGCTGTTGTATTAGAATTCTCTAATTTGAATACCATAAATTGAAATTCACGTATGTTTAATTGGTTTTTTAAAGATTCAATGAACAAATTAGACCGCTGGTGAATTCACCAAGCAATAGTAACTGGGGTATAAATCTAGGAGTGAGTTTTGCTTTTGCAGCGACCTGAATCTTGAGCTTGCCCTGATGCTGATAAATCAGTTGTTCAATCAATGTTGGTGACAAAAACAACTCCATGAAAATACGAATACATTACAATTACATAGACTTTTAGTCTAGGACTAGAATGCAACTGTAAAATGATTTGGTAAAACATTAGTTCAGCATCGGAAATTAACTGGTAATGTTTGTTGAGTTTCGTAAACTAAAGTTTCGGTAAACTACCAACTTTTCTTTGACCATCGTTGAAATATATAAATATAGAATCTAGTCGATTGTAGTAAATTAATGTTTTTATTTTTTGAGGGAATTTTTATACCAGTGTCCGTTTGTAGAATGTTCTGTAAAAAAGGGGTGTTAGGTTACCGGTAGTTGACTAAATACAAACATTGCTGGCTAATGTAATGCTAACCCTAGGTAAAACTCCATTTTAGCGCATTTTATTCCCCGCTTTACGTTCACCTCCATTGCCGGTATCCCCCCTCACACACACACAAGACTTAGTGGAGGGGTCACTGTGAACAATGTTTAGTAGCAGAACTATTTAGCAGAATCACTTCAAAGAAATAGGGCCTAACTAGCAAAACAAAATGATTAGTTAAACAGTAGGTATTTAACACGCAATTAAAATCAATATACCCAAATTTTAAACGTTTTGCATGACTCCACACACACAAGACTTAGTGGAGGGGTCACTGTGAACAATGTTTAGTAGCAGAACTATTTAGCAGAATCACTTCAAAGAAATAGGGCCTAACTAGCAAAACAAAATGATTAGTTAAACAGTAGGTATTTAACACGCAATTAAAATCAATATACCCAAATTTTAAACGTTTTGCATGACTCCAAATAAATTGTGGTTTACAGTACTTCCAGGGCTATTTTAAAAATTCTATTATTTTTAATGACATCAACTTTTAAATTTAGCCATCATTCTCCAAGGCAAATTTTAAATGAAGTGACCTTGGAAGAAGATTTTTCTCCCCAACGTCTCCACTTAGTCGGCAAAAGATAGCTATGCGCAGTGACTTAGGGATAGGATTAGGGTTGGTGTTAGGATTCTGCGGTTGTAAACACACGCATGCGCAGTACCATCGAAAACAGCTGCAATGGCAAGTCTCAGTTTCTCTCCATTGCGCATGCGTATCTTTTTCCAGCTTGCATCGGCAAATATTAAAATGCTTTTCTGGCATATTTAGCCCTGCCACCTATAGCTTGCTTTTATAACGTAAAAAAAACACAATTTTTCTCGTGCTAAACATTTTTTTAAATAATCCTAAGAAGGTCACTGGAACTTAGTCGAAAAATTGTCGGAAATCATGCATCTGGTCTGGATGCCATATTGTTGTTAGCAACCAGCCACGCCTCCTGGGTAGCGAGTAATACTAATTAAATAAGCTACCTTACCATTCAAAGTCACAGCTTTAGAATTAGAATAGACCTAAGCTCTTGACATTAATTTTGTTGTTTGCTAGATCTATTCTAAATCTTGTTGTCCACTTCTATGATGACTTACTTGAGTTGACTTATTCCTTTGTGGCCCCTAAGGAGCAAAGGACTGCAGCCACACTTCTCCACCGGACTTGGTTTTGAGCGGTTATCTTTATTTGCACCCAAATAAGATGGGCAGCCTTGTCTCATTTTCTACTGTTCTTCTCCAGGATTCTCTTGGCCGTCCTATTTCCTTTTGCCTTGGGGATTTTAGTCTGATGTTTTTTTTTCGCAATATTATCCTCTCCCCTTCTTGGGTATGCCCTATCCATCCCCCCATTTGGCGGGCTTTAATGTCCCTGTCTTTTGGCTGTTGTTTGGTGTTTTGCCAGTTCTTTATTGGATATTTTGTCTGGCGCTCTTTTCTTGAGGATATGTCTTGACTGTATTTGTTTTTGTAACCCTCCAGGTCTCCAAACTGCCTTAACATTTCTCATTTTGCTCTTTGGTGACGAGGGTGTGCAATTCTATATCGGGCGTAGTGAATTGAAGGCACATCTGGTCTTGTTGATACATCATAGATGCAGAGAGGAAATATTTTCTAATCCTAAAAATAGGTTGGCAAGATCTGCTTTTGGTTTTGTCTGTAAACTAAACTTGAGCAAAGTTCAACCATAAGACAAGTAAAAGGTACTTTTCTAGGATAAAGAAAAGTGGTGGATTTCTTTGTCCAGTGTCCAATAATGGCACAATAATAGAATATTCTTTAAAAAGGGACGTACGGTTACATGTATTAACTAATCACACATGAATTGCTAATGTAATAGTTAACCTCAACCATACACCTAACCCTAAACTAACCATAAAAGTAGACAAGATTACAATACTACTAGCAACCTAATACACACATTTGGAAGAGTTGTACATTGGTGTATAGATCATCAAGATAACACAGCTGCTTGTTTTTTAAACATCATGATAAAAATTTGAGAATCAGTACCATATTATCTTCCAATCTATGTCAATTTAATGTGTCTTTGACAGGTTTTACAGTCAGGGATGTTACTGTTCCAAATTTTAGTGGAAATCCGATTTTTATGATTTTGCTGAAATTTTTCTCCGGATTTTTCCTCGAATGTTTTTCAGATTTTTCAATTATTTTTTTTGCAGATTTTGTCGAAGTTATAAAAAAATTTGAAGAAAAAAAAACGGAAATGACCTCTGTGGATTACTATTGATTACGGTTGGCCAATACTACGTCAAAAACTAGATCTAGGTCAAGATTCTATACGTATTGTTTTGTTCTGACGATTCTAGATTGAATCTGCGTCAAGATACATTCAATTCATGGATCTCTAGTAAATGCTATTCATTGTGTTCATCGATCAATTCATACATTCTGGACACGCTCAACTGCTCATCTGTCGTAAACAATCATTTATGAAACTATAAGTCAAGTGTTATTATTAAATTGTTGTAGTGTAGTTTCTCATAGATCTAGACTTAAATCTAATAAATTCTAGTGTTTATGCAGCAGATGTCTGTTACTATTAAAATTGTGGATAGAGTGCATCCATCAAGCTTGATAAGACCATTAAAAACCGTTTCAAATGGATTTGATTAGAAGAAAAAGATCGTTTTGCAATTATTTGCCTTAATATATTAGGAAAATTGAAGAGCCTGACATTTTTTGAAAGGAAAAAATTAAGTACGGAAGTGGCGGAAAATATACCCTAAAACACCATGCTATGTCAAAAAGCATGAAAACGTTAGGAAAGCTGTAAGAATTTCTCAACGACTACCAACACTTTTTGGTAATATAAAAGAACTTAAGGCTGCTGCAGAGCCTAAACCAACACCGGCTGTCTATGGACTGGCACCTAATGCCTGTACCCAAAATACTTAAGTCACATTTTAACAGTCTGCCCAAGCAAAATATGTTAGTCTAAAAGATAGAGAAATGCAGTTTTTATATCAAATATACATTTTACATCTGTATCTGTTCACTTTGTATAAGTACTAAAAGGATATCCAATATTTGGCGTCACGCACGATTCTTGATATAGTATATTTTTGCCCAAAATTTTCCAAATATTTTTTGAGAGCCTGGTCACATCCCTGTACAGTAAATTAACTCTTAATTCTACAGCAATACCTTAACTTTCACCAATATCTCAAAGACCGTTTCATGGTCTTTTAATGAGTACATTACTTTTGCAAGTACATTACTTTTGCAACAATACTGGCATGATTTTAACTATTGCAGAAAATATTATTTGTGCAATTGGAAAGTTTAATTTTGTGTGTAATTTTTAATTACATTATTTCCTAATTTAATCCTATTCTCTTGAAAAGTAGGCCTATTCATTTTAAGTTTATTAAACAGCAAACTAGGTTAGCCTCTGAAGTAATTTAATTTAAAAAACCATCAATAACACAGTTAATGTCCGGCAAATAACAGAAAAATAAGAACATACAGTCAGGCAAGCCAACCACTAAAATAAGTGGTTTACTATAGGCCTATTAGTTATTGTTTCCTGTGTTCCTTTTGTTTCAGCTTTTTTATTCTGAATCAAGTAATATCAAAGCATATATGAATTGAAAAAACATGGATATTTAGATACAAAATACCTAGATTAAAATGTTTATTTTATTCAGTATACAAGCTAACATACATCATTTTTAAAACTGATTGATTCATGGTACTTGACGGCCTAAACAACATACAGTCAGTTGCCCCAATCCTCTTTAAATTTAGATCAGCCTAATCAAAGTCTGGCTGAACAAGTAAATTCTCTAATTATGTTTACGTTGGTTTTAATAAAAATGAAATGTATGACAATCGATGAAATAAAACACTTTGTCATCATTCAAAAATATTAAGAACAATCCTACTTAATATTTTTCAGAAACATAATTTAGAAATGACTGTGGGCAGTCATCGTCCACGTTGTTTCTTTGACATTAGCATTGGAGACCAGCCAGGTAAATAATAGAATAAACAATAACTACATAGATTTGCCAAATTTCATTTTAATAACACTAGTACTAAGGTAGTTAGGTTACTAGATTATCATTAAACCAATGTGAATGTATCCATCCACAATTTCATTACATAACACTTTTATATTTCTTTTTTTTTTTAAAGTTGGCCGTGTTGTTTTTGAGCTGTATGCTGATGTAGTTCCTAAGACATGTGAAAACTTCAGGGCTCTCTGCACAGGTGAGTTCTTGTGCTTTAAGTTGTTAGTTATATTAGCCCTGTTTGACTTCGTCATATTAACTACTTCTTTTAAACTTTTTGCAGGTGAACTGGGTGTAAGTGAAAAAACTGGAAACACTTTACATTACAAGGGAGCCTTATTTCATAGAGTAGTGAAAGACTTTGTCATACAAGGTGGAGATTTTACTAAATGTAAGTATGGTCTGGTGACATTTAGTTGTTGACCCAATTTTATTTATCTCAACATAAATTGTTTAATTTGTTAAAAAGTCGGTGTATTTTTACCGTTACATTACTCATTGGTATCACTTTTCTTTTTGCTCCAAAACATTAATTTTATCTACTAATTCTGTTGTGTATTTAAAACAAGGCAGTTGAATTACTATATAATGCTTTCAATGATTATGTATTATTTCTATTCGTTGTTTACAGTTGATGGAACTGGTGGAGAATCCATTTATGGTGGTGTCTTTCCAGGTTTGTTTACTTAATTTAAAAAATTCTTTCATTAAATCTTCTATGTAGATAGTCATTTCACTCATAAAAATATAGTTAGTTGTGGACAATCATTAAAAAAAATATTTGTCTTTCTATTAGATGAAAATTTTACGCTCAAACATGACAAAGAGTTTCTTTTGTCAATGGCTAACAAGGGAAAAGACACTAATGGAAGCCAATTCTTTATGTAAGTAAATTTAGTAACTTATATTTTTATTGTTATTTATATTAAAATGTTTGCTTTTTGTGTGCTATTAAATTGTAGATAGTTAGAAAAATGAATTGCCCTATAAATTTTTTTTGCAAGCTTTAATTTAACTTGCTTCCTCTTTCTTTGTCACTGATTGAAACTAGGGAGCAAATTTTTGACCACTTCTAACAAACTAATTTCTCTGAAACTTGGCCTTGTGGGTCAAGACCCAATGACAATGCAATTTGACTTAATTGGTTGCTTATTTAATTTTTAAAAGTCTTTTGAAACATTTGTTTTAATTTCATATATTTTTTTATTTTTTTTTAGCACAACAAAGTCTACCCCTCACTTAGACAAGTAAGTAATATAATTTATTTTGATAAGATGCTTTCTTATTGTATGTTAAGTGTGATTGTTACCTTCCCTGTCTCAGATGTGGCTTATATCTATTTTTAAAAAAAAATTAAATTGAACATGGCTAAAAATATTTTTCTAGTGTCCATGTTGTATTTGGTCATGTGCTGTCTGGACAAGACATAGTGAGGACAGTTGAAAACTTACCAGTGGATGGGAAAAGTCGTCCGACCTCTGATGTGAAAATAACAAATTGTGGAGAATTAGTGTTACAACTTAAATCTAAATGTAAGTATAGCTGAAATTAAGTGCTTCCATTTTTTATTAATTATTTTTAATACTCTCTATGTTATTATTTATTATCATTTTATATGATAGGAATAAATTTGACCGTGAGCTGGCTAATGGTTAAACTATTTTATATATCTATTTCATTTTTTTTTTCTTTATATAATATACATTTTTGTAAACAAATTACTGAGAAGTTTATTACGGTTTTATTTCTCACTTTTGATCAGCTAAAAAGAGGGCTAAAGCAGAATCTGACAGTTCTGATTCTGAGAAAGAAACAAAAAAGAAAAGCAAGAAGAAAAAGCACCACCACAAAAGAAAGCACAAGAAGAGAGATTCCAAGAAAAAGAAGAAGGACAAGAAGTCTCATTCTGAAAATGAAGAAGAAGATGTTGAAGGAAAGAAAGAGTATGTATTGGTTTTTTTTTTAAGTGTAACAATTTATTAATTTGATGATTGTATTCTGATACATACTTTATGGATATAGAAAGTATTTTACCTCAGCGATATATCAAAGTTTTAAGTCCATAGCTACTATGAAATATATAAGTATTTTCAGTCTGGATAAGAAATTTATACATAAAAATACTTTTATTGACAAGGGAATGAATTAAAGTATATATATTAAACATGAGATAAACTTACAACAAAACAAATGCAAAAACAAAAATTTTTCTTGTTTATAAAAGTGATAATTTTATTAGTGTTAATTGTTATGAAGGGAAAAGAAGGAAGAGGTTACTTCTGTATTTGCTGACATTCGTTCTGATGAGATTCCTGAAGTTCCCTTCCAAAATTTCTTGTACCGAGGGAAAAAGAAAGAAGATGAAGAGAAAGAAAAGGAGGAAAATGTCGATGAAAACAACAAAGAAAAGCCAGCTGATATAAAGCCGAGGTATTTGTAAAAGCAAAGTTTATTTTTGCCACTTAACCTGATTATTTTTTATGGCTGATTTAGTTTCTGAAACTAATTTTTGGTTTAATATATTTTATATTTAATTTCAGAGATAGATCTCCTAGACGTAGAGACAACAGAAATAACAGACCTATAGTCTCAGCTTCAGGACGTAAATTAAAAGGCCGTGGCGCTATCGTATGTCAATGATATAGTTCTTAAATCGCTTTATCTTTTAGTATCTTTAAGTTATGCTTATAATTTCTTTGAATTGTATTTTAAAATTCTGCTGTTTATTGTGCAGAGATTCCGCAGCAGGTCTCGCTCTACAACTCCACCTCATTGGAAACAAGAACAAAGAAGAGCTATACCACTGAGTGAGGCAGAAAAGATTGCAGAAAGGAGATGGAGTAAAGGGGAGACAGTTGAGAAACCTGAGAGGAAGAAAGAGTTTGATAGAGGAAGAAATGCACCTGCTGGTAGATTTGACAGGGGTAGGGGAGACCCAGATGCTGAAGATGACAGGTAATTTCAGATACAATTGCTGAGATGTAACTTCTCCGCTTTTTATGAGATGCTGCCATTTCCGATTTTAAAGACATCAGAATTGTTTATTTTTTAAAGCCAAAAATGTTCTGCCAATCCATTTTCTTATTATAGAAAATATTATTGTAAGGGTTATTTTGTATATGAAACAGAAATGTGCCAGTTGTCATTATATTTTACTAAAATTTGCCAACACTTTAATCTCCATAACAAACCACCCCTCACTTGCTTCGCTTGGCCATCTTCAGTCTGTCTTAGATTTTCAAGCTATATTATTAAAATGTCTAATTTTTATGTAGTGCTATTTAAATGAAAAACTCCTAGATTTAACGTCTCAAGTGTTCCATGTTTGGATGCCTTTATGGCGACAGTGAAATGGTTTACTTAATGATTAGTGTAAGATTAACAAGAAAGATTTTAGGCCTGCTGTAATTTGATGATTTTTAAATTTACATTTTAATTACCTTTTTTAAATGCCCTTTAAATATTGAGAAAATATACAGCCACCATCCCACTTATTACTTAGGCGGGCTGTTAACATCTCTGATACTAATGAATTCACTGAATTTTTAAATTTTACTGATGGATCTGCCTACTCATTGCATTTTTTTTTTTTTTAAATCTTCAGGAAACTAGAAAATGGTCGCTATAAAAAACAGGGGAATGATGAGGAAGAAAAGATTGAAAGAAAGAAGAAACCGCAAACTGAAGATAGTGGTGATGAGAAAGGTTAGATCATATTAAATTAGCTTTCTTTTCTTGTTGTAATGACTTAAAGAAATATAATGAATTAATCACATTATTAAACATTTGCAGAAGAGAAAAAGCGCAAAAAGGAGAAAAATGAAGGCCCCAGAGATCAGTCAGAAGACAGTGACATAGAGACTGGTTCAGGTAAAGATGTTGAAGTTAGGAGTAGAAAGGAGAAGGACAAGGCAAAGGAAAGGAGCAGAGAAGCAAGGAACAGACGAGAGAGTGAGCGCAACAAGTCTGAAAACAGGTAAACTATAGTTAGGCTTCTATTATTTGAAGAGTGTAACAGACTCAGAACTTTTAAAATCTATACTTTCTGTTTGTTGTCTGTTTGTAGAAGCTCATCTCCTGAAGATAAAACCTCAAGAGATAAGAAAGTAAGAGCAAGGGAAAAATCACCACCTCAACAACGGAGAGACAATAGAAGAGATTCCAGAAGATCTCATTCTACTGACAGAAAAGACAGTCGGAGAGATATAAGTGACTCAAGAAATCGCTCACTTAGGGAAGAAAATTCAGAAAGTAGTAAGTACTTAAATCATCGTAGGCGAGACTCTAGGCGCTCTAAGAGCTCAGATAAAAGTGATGTTGATACATCTAAAAAGCCTAGAGACAGCAGGTCATCTCCACCCTCTAGAAGGTTTCAAGAGAAGTCTAGAACAGATGAGAGAAAGAGGTCACCACAGAGACATATCAATCGCAGGGATAGGTCAGCCTCTAGGGATAGAAAGAGGAAACATTCTAGTTCTAAAGAGAGGTCACTATCTCGAGACAGAAAAAGAAAACAATCTAGTTCTAAGGAGAGATCAGCCTCTCGGGAAAGGAAAAGAAAAAATTCAAGCTCAAAGGAAAGGTCTGCCTCCAGAGAAAGAAAACGAAAGCATTCAAGTTCAAAAGAGAGATCTACATCACGAGACAGGAAAAGGAAGGATTCTAGTTCAAATGAAAGACCCCAAGATAAAAATAAAATTGATTTTAGACGCCGCAAGAGGTCTGATTCTAGTGTGGAGCGTAAAAAAGAAAAGGATAAAAGGCAAAAACGTGAGAGTTCATCTAGTTCTGAGGATGAACAATCTATGAAAGAAACTAGGTGGAAGAAGTTGAGGTATTCATCTTTCTTTTACAATTCAATGTTGAATTCTTTAAAATTAACTATTATAATTAATATATTGTAAACCAGGAATTTGATAACGCCTATTTTATATGAGTTGCAAGATTTTTCACTAGTCGATCAGTCATGCAACATTTACAGAGACATTTTAAATATCTTAATATTTCCAGCTACCTACAGTTTCTTAAAAAATTCTGTTACTAACAAAAAAAAATGTGAAGTTAACAGGAAAGGTATACATTTGCTAGCTCTGTCTATTGTAAATTTATTGAAAAACTCTTCAGCCTAAATCACACTATATATGTAATGTAGGCTAACATTTGAACTTGCACTCTTCAAGATTAATGCAGTAGCATCACACATTCAAAATTAGGTTTGACATTTATACATGTTCAATAAAATGTGACTTTATGCATTTGTTTCAGTATTGTGAGGAAAAAATCTGACAGTCCTCCTCCCACTCATTGGAAACCAGGATCCAAACCTGCCAAAATCACTAATAAAGCTGACAAGTAAGTCACCAACTTTAACAGCTGTTAGTTGTTGTAAGTTTAAAAATTAGATTTTTAAATTCATGCTTTATTTTGTTTAAAAAATTTGATATTAACTTTTTTGAAGGCTCAAGAATTCTTTAGATGAAGCCCCTCTGTCATATCTTCAAGAGACAGAAGCCATGATCAAAGCCCAGCTGGCAGCTGACAGTATTGATGAAGTTCTCACAACTCCTGCACCTCTTGCTGCCAAGATTCAATACAAGTTGGATGGGGGAGAACAGATACAATATAGTGTCACTACAGGTATATTACACTAGTTCTTAGTTCATCCATTTTATCTGTTACTTTACCATTGGTTTTCTAATCGATTAAAAGTTTATTTTAATATTGTGGCACATTTTGTAAACCAAAATAAAGATTTGTAGTTTACATTGTCATTTTTTACCTGGGCAAATTTAGAATACTTAAATAAAACTAGATTATCACTGACTGACATTAACTGACATAATTTGAAATTAAGTTCTTGTTGTTTTTTTTAACAGTCAACTCCACTGGTGGGAAGTCTGATTTAGCTGCTGGTTCTACACGTTCTCTGCCAGTTGCTGCTAAGTCAAGGTCACGATCAAGTTCCAGTTCCTCTAGCTCTGGATCTTCCAGGTCACGCTCTAGATCAAGCTCTAAAGATTCCAAGTCCAAAAATAGCAAAAGATCAAGCCATGAGAAAAAACAAAAAAGATTTGTGGAAGTGAGGAACATTTTATAGAAACTTAGTTTTATGACCAATATTTACTATGAGTGTCAACAGTTTTCTTTATATACATCTACTAACATTGTTTTGCTTGTTGTTTAAGGAAAAGAAATGGGAACCACCTTTTGAACCTGAAGATGTTGAGAAAGATGATGATATTCAGGTAGTTTAACAATTTTCACCACATTTTTTTTATGTATACACATATCATCACTAACAATTCTATCAGTTCATATATTAAACATTTTAGTCTAAAACTGCTACCAATTAGCGGTACCCTACTCATATTTCAAAAACTGCTGAAATTATTTTGTGTTTTTAATTTTATTATTTCTGGGTTTTTTTTAATGTGATAAATTAGCTCAATCTTTTTTTTTTATTCCTTCAGCCAATTGTTAAACCTGCTGTGGCACCAGATACAGATAGGAAACCAGAACTCAAAACAACTGGCTTACCAACTCTGGATAAAATGTTTGAAAATAACAAGTAAGGTTACATTTGTTTCATCTCATTATAGTCATTATTTATTGTTTTTGTTAAGTTTTTTAATCTCGCTATTTTAAATAACAGACATACTGTCCCGCCTAAAGCCGAAATGTACAGCTTTTAAACAAAAATCACGTCTCGTTTGCCATTCCGCTTTCTTCGAAGTTTTTTCAGCAAAATAAAAAATAAGTGAAAATGTCCAATTTTAAAAAATAAATCAAATTGAAAAAAATTGAGGAAATTTGCTTATTTGCCTTCATCATTCATTTCCATTTCAATATTTAGTCTATGTATAGATTAACTTATTTAGCCCTATATTTCAAATAGAAAAATGATCATTATAACACCAAAAAAAAAGTTCTTTTTGGGATTTGTAATAATAAATTATACAGTAAATAAAATGAGCAAAAATAGAACGTGAGCAACCTACTGAGCACACTAGCTAAAAATATTACTACTGTATTTAATAATAATTATTACAATACGACAAGAAGCTTTAGCATTTGTTGTTCATATTTTCAAGTACAAGTCTACTACATAACAAGTCAGGAACACAGGAGCTTGGAAAGCAAACCAAATAATCTATAATAGTTCCTGATTGTTGTACTACTCTTGTGTTGTATCTAATTAATAATGTTGTAACAGCTACAGCTGTGGTATTATTATAATTAAATGGAGGGTGTGGGGTTCACTTTTTTTTTTAAAGTAAGCTGAAATTATGCAGTAGTTTATAGATTTAGATGTTGTTCAAATATTAACTTAGTATAAAACTATAATAAACCTATTTATAATAACGAGCCGGCCCGCGGCATAACATATGCCGCTATTTAGTTGTTTTATTTTCTACTTTTCAGTAATTCATAATTTGTGAATTCGACAGTACCAACGCTGACACTGAAAATAATTCTTTAAAACACTATAAGTAGCTCGTTAAGGGCCATAACCCCCCCCCCCCCCACTTCCTTTCCCCCCCCCCCCCCCCCTCCCCCTCTTCCTCCCCCCCTACGTTTAAAATAGTTGGCTCTGCTTGTAAACATTTAGAGTGCACACAGCTCACTAAGACCATGTAGGGGTGGGGAGGTAGGGAGCGCGTTTACAGCTTGTTTTCTAGCGGCTCGCAGAAGAGAATTATATATATAGATGAGTATAGGGACTAAAGCCTTTTTTTATTTTTAATAATTTATTTTCTGCTTAGCAACAAAGCATACATGTGAATGTTCCTTTTGCTTCAAACTCATTTTGTTTTCAAATGACTATTCCTATTTTTGGTTGCAAGGGGTAGGGATATCTGAGAATGTTCATGTTTATTAATCCAAGTTTAACCATGAAAGATTTTATAAAATGTATTCCATTGCTTTTCTTAGGCAAAAAGAGCAGAATACACAGCCAGAAAAGCCAAAACGATCATCTTCATCATCATCCTCCTCCTCTTCTTCGCCAAGACGAGAATCAGACAGGTCAAGATCTAGATCAGGCTCAGAATCCCCTTCACGTCTTAGAGCAACACTGTTAGAGCAGAGAAGGCGAAGAACAGAAGATGGGGATGAAACGGTTGTTAGGGGTCCAGAAAAGAAAGAAACGGGTAGTAAAGATACTTCTGAAGATGTGAAAAATTCCATGTCATCCTCATCTTCCTCTCCGGAACCACCGCCAGTAATTCCAAGAGTGAATCGCTCCAGATTTGACGTGCCCCCAAAGGGATTTGATGCCAGTGAGGCTAAGAGGGAGACAGCACCTTCCATCCACAGTGAACCAAGTTTAAAGCCACCTCTTCCACCCCACCCTCCAGCACCTGAAACTGTTTCTGACCAGCTCCTGACTGTCAGTCCATCAGTGCCAGTATGCCCTGGCATATTACCCCCGCCACAGCAAAGCTTTGTGACTTCTTACCCTTCATTAAATCAACCTCCATTACCGCCCATGCCATCACCTGGATTGATTATTCCACCTCCTCCTTTGCCAGATTCTCAGCCAACCATCCCTTCACCAGTGACGCCCATAGAAATACGAATGGCTGCAAACATTGATATGTTTCAGTTGTCTGAGGTTCCTCTGCCTGGTGAGATCAGCACAGTGGTTCCTTTGAAGCCTCAGTCAGGCCCAGATAAAACCACACCAATCAAAGCCAGTCAAGCCGCTTTACCTGAACAAAAGACACCTGTTAACTCAGACAGCTCCCCGAAGAAACAAACTGACAGAAAATCACGTAGGAGTAATAGCCATTCTGACAAGGCCAGATCCTCTTCAGAATCATCTTCATCTTCACATTCATCTTCTAGGGAAAGGAAGAAAAAATCTTCCCCCTCTCTTCAGGCTCCTGGTGCTAGTGATTTAGGTGAAACAGCTAAAACTTCAGATACAGGTGCAAAACCAGAAACAGTACAAGAAACAGCAGATATTTCAAAATCTGTGAAAGACAGTTCACCTGTAAAAACTACAGTGGTTAAAAAAGAAGAAAAGTCTAAAGATGAGAAGGCAGAGAAGAAGACTGAGAGAAAACCTTCAGAAAAATCTTCACGTGATAGGGAGTCATCAAGGTCTAAATTAGGCAGTGCGTCTTCTGCAAGAGACAGGAGAAGGTCACGCTCCAAGGAGTCTAAATCTACTAGAAGATCCAGTCCATCTCCAAGACATCGCTCTAGGTCAAGGTCCTTAACCAGGAGGCGTAGGTCACCACCTAGACGAAGGTCACGATCTAGGTCTTTTAGGAGGAGGTCACCTTTCAGGTAAATATAAAAAAATTAAGTCTGTTTTTGCTATTTCTGTTGGGTTATTTCCCTTGTGTTGCTTGAAAAGAACTTAAATTTTTCACAAGTTTGGTGTGTTCATTCGTTTGTAGCCTGTTTGTAAATTTAAGAGCTAGATCTCTATAGATGCAGCTTTTTGAATGAATAACTGCATCTCAGTTCTTAGAAATAGTTCCATTTTTGCTTCAACATAGAAATGCTACATGTAGTTTCCGCCACTTAAATAATTATAAGTAAAATAAAAATTCAAAGACATAAATAAATTTTTGCAGAAAAACTTTAGAATTGGTTCTTTATTATAAACAGGTTACTGATCCTATTCACGCTTGATCATAATAATTGTGTATAAGAAATGAGACCTTAGATTTTGAATTTTAAAAAATTCTTTTGCAGATCATCTTGGGCTAGTCGTCAAAGAGGAAGATATGATAGGTCTCCTAGAAAGCGCAGGTAAGTTTTTCTTAAATTTTTACACATGACATTTGAACCATCCCAAACCTGATTAACTAGTATTTTTAATTATTTAAAAAACATTTGCCTTCTATTGAAAAAAATGTTATGCTTTTAGGTCTAGAACACGTAGTCGGGACCGCCGCCGTCGTGGCGCCAGAAGATCTGACAGCCGCTCAAGGAGTAGCAGTCACAGTAGTCGCAGCAGCAGCAGATCCAAACGGAGATCCTCATCATCCTCCAGTGACTAATGGTGTGTTCTGTTGATTCTAGTGTTTGGTTTTCTTGTTTCTTATTACATCCACTTGTATATGCTGGTTACTACAGTATATTGATCTACTCTCTGTGAGATCATTGTTTGTCTGGGGTTATAAGCCATATTGTTCTCCATTGCTTTTGGATTTGTAAGAAGTTGACTTCTTTGTTTTGTCTAATTCTAGTGTGTTTGTTCCTTAAGTAGAATAGTCAAAAACTTAGACACTTGATAATTCACACAGTGAGGTAGTTACATCTTAAGTCTATGATACAAAGCAACATGCTTTCCTAATATTGTGCATATTTTTCCAGATCTTTTGTGTTTTGATATTTATTTTATTTTTGGTACATTAAGTACTTTTAAAATGTATTGTTGATATGATGCAAATTGCATGGTGAAAACATAGACAACTGTTTTCAAGACTTGAAAACGGTTTTAAGATATTTGAGCCTGTTAATATTTGATAAAAATGATTGAAATAGGGAGCAGTCTATGTTCAAACAGCTAACTTTGTAGTTGTTGGATAGCTGTCTAATGAAGTTAAAAAGTTTTTTGTTGTTTTTTTTTTATTTAAAAAACCCTTATTATAAACAGCAGACATTACATTATTGTATTTGTTAAAAATAGATTTTTTTAATGTGTTTAAGATAAAAACTGGTTTTCACAGAAAGTAAACACTTTAAGAAAAGTAACTTACCAGATTGTAATTAATTTATTTATATTTCAGGTTTGTTTTTTAAATGTAAATATTTTTAGTAGTTGCTTCACCTAAGATGATTTTTAACTAATGATTTTATCCAAATTGAGATACTAGTGCTAGACGCAACAACATTGGCATAGTTGAGGAACCTTATAACTAAGGTCTTTGGTTAGAGGTGTAGACAGTAATTTGTCTGATATTTTGTGTCAGATTTTACATCAAAGGAATTAATTTGCAACAGGTAAAAGAAAGCAAATAGATTCAGTTGGTACCTTTTTTTTTTACACTTTCCCAACAATCACTGACATTTGTGGTCATACTTTTTAAAAGCCTAATTCTTTCTTGCTGTCTACATAATGAAATCTGTTGAGCTTAGTCTTTTTTCTAGTTTCTCACATTGATTGTTGTAGTGCTGATTGATTGTTGTTTTAGTCCTTGTTTTAAGCAAATGTTAATGCTACATGGTCACCTGTAAAAACACAAGCTGTGATTTTGTTGGCACTAAGTAAAGAAGGCTTGTGTTCTTAGTGTTAGCAGTGCTTGTCTTTATTAGGCAGTCTTGACCATTTTAATTAGAAAAATAATGCTGAGTGTTGATCCATCTATTTTGTTACGCATTGTTTTTTTATTCATGTAATTATGACATTGATTAAAGTATTATTTGTCTATTAATGGTATTTCTTTTTCAAATGGCTCAGTTTGTTTGGTTGTGTTGTTTGATTTGCCCAGTTTTAGCAGAATGTAAGTTAAAAATGACACTTTTGTAAAGTCTAGCTAAATAAAAACAGCTAAATCAGATTTAAATTTTGTAAACTTTAGAAGTCCAATAGGTACTCTGGCACTTCAAAAGGTAATTTGAAAAGCCCAATAATACATAGGGGGAAATAATGGAAGGTGTTTTAAAATTTTAACTGATACATTTTAAAACAAAATTATTCCACTCTTTGTTTTGGAGTTACAATGTATTTTTACTTTATATATATGTATATATATATACACACACATAATCTAAAACAGGAAATAAAACCAATCTTTTGCTCAAACATTCTATGCAATGATCTTTTATGTTGTTAAGTTACTTTTCTCAGAAGTTTGTACTTGATAAACAGTACTTTTGCATGATTTCTTACCGAGTAAAGCCAACCTCATTTTTGTGCTGGTATCACCACCATAGTTCTCTAACCTTAAAAGGCAGAAAATAACTACATTGTTGTATTGTCTTGTCATTATTCATGGAAGTACCTAATTTTCTATCACTGGAACTGAGTCTTGATTCAGCATCTTAAAGTTACTTTTAAAATAATGCACATTTTAAGTATAAAAAATTTAAAATATTTATCTTTTTTGAATATTAAATGTTGCGTTTTTAACAGATTTAATCTGTAGGAAACTAGATCTAGTAGGCTATATTGATAATCAAAATACTATTTTAAAAAATAAAATGGTGATGAAATATATGTAGTTTTAAAAAATGATAGTTTTCATAGGATTGTTTTGAGTATTACATTTTATTTGGAATCCTAATGGTAGATAGGTTTTTATACTACTATAATACTAATATGAGGAAAAAAGAAATTCTTTAGTTGCTTAGACCTAAAGATGTGACCCTTGTGTTGCAATAAAAAAATCAAAGATTAATTAAATGACATAGTAAATTCAATGTCAGTGAGTAAAGGCATGTTCAACCAAGGTCGTACAGCTTATATTGCTTTCAATAATAAAAAAAAATGTCAATCTAAAGTGCTTACCTGGGAATGTATATATGAAAAAAAAAACTTTGAATATTTTCAATTCTTAGTAGTGTTTTTGTTAGTTCTAAAGAATTATTTATTCTTATCTAAGTATTTGTTTTTGTCAAAATGCATAATAGCTCATACAAATAAATAAAAAATTGTATTTAATTTAACAGGTCTGCTTATGAAATGGCTAAATAAGCTTGTTTTACTCACAGAAATACAAATAAAACAATACCTATAACGAAATAGGCCTGCCTGTAATATTTTATGAAGCCTAGGTCAGAGTAATAAATATTTCAATTTGATTGTCAGAGTCTGTATTTTCATGGTAATAATGCAATAAAAGCAAAACCTTAACCAGGCTAAAAAATAAGAAACAAATATAACAGGCATATCAAATTTCTTTTTTGCTTAAGTTTACTATTGAAATTAGTTGTATTAAATGCTCAAATAATTAAAGTTAATAAGATGTCTATTAATATTTTACTCAAAATCGTGCACTGGTTCAGTATTACAGCATTCACATAATTCACTTGTTGAAGGAGCAATGTATACTAACTGGATGTTAAACTTTTTACCTTAATGTCAGTTGTACTGTACAGTCACTTAATTATTAATTTGTCGAAAGTAAAGCACGTAAAATGTTCTAATAAAAACATTAAAGGTTACTTCTAGAATTTCAATTCGATAGCTAACATCTTCTGTGTCTTAGCTTAGCTTAACCCATGCTAAAAGCTATGGTTAAATAATTAATTTCTTTGTCTGAAGACTGGGAAATCAAGGGAGTGAACTGCTTGAATATTCCTGTGGCAGAGTTCTCTGTTTTTTATTTTACCATTTCTACTTACATTTTCCCCTCTGTGTGTTGCAATGTTCTTTTTTTATTTCTGCGTTTGATGTTTAACATGCTTAGTATCAAATATTGGTGTTATTTTAATTTTATATTTTATCTAAAATGTGTGAGCTTATCATATCACCAGTCTACATTAGTCACCCTGTTCAAACTTTCTCTTCAGTTGTTTGTGTAGTTATGAATGGGATACTTGTTTTATGATAACCACTTCTTGTATACATTTTCATATCATCGCATGTCATTTCTGTAAGTGTAGTAAGAAAGACTCATTACATGAATGATGTGTAGCCATTACATTACCATTGTAAGTAAGCAAGACTCATTACATGAAAAAACTGGTGTAGCCATTACATGTTGCATTGTGAGTAAGCAAAACTCATTACATAGAAGACCTGTGTAACCATTACATTTATCATTCAAAGTAAGCAGAACCCAATTACTTTTATGACTGGTGTTTTATCATTGATTTATCATTGTATGAGAGCGGTATAAAACTTGGCTGAAGATTTGAACAGTTTCAAAAATTTGTTGTTAACACTGTGATCGAGTAGGAGTTGTAAAAAAATTAAAGGAAGTACTGTAAAGTCTGGAATTTTTCTTGTTTTATTTTTATACCTGAATCAATATTTAGCCTTGAGTATTTGGATAATTTAATTGGTGGTTAAAAATTTTTGGAAACAGAATTTTTATTTTATGGGAGTTGAGAGAAAATATGTAGTACAAAGTACATTTTGCTTTAAACATAGACCTCATTCTTTAAGGAATATTTATTTCCTAATTATTTCCTCCTAGCATTGTGGTTTTTACCCTTGCTTTTGTGATCTGTTGGTAAAGGTTGACACAAGGCATAATGAGGCTTCTGCTGCTTCACTGTTGATCAGCTGTTTTGTGTTTACATCTCTTGTTGTGTTTAGTTATATGTCCCTTTTTTGTGTGTCACTTGCCTTATATGCCCCTTGTGTTAAATGTAACCTGCCTTATAAATGTATATGCTCCTTGTGTAATGTGTCACTTACCTTATATATATATATATATGCCCCTTGTGTAAAATGTAACCTGTCTTATAAAGTTATATGCCCCTTGTGTAATGTGTCAATTGCCTTAGATGCCCCTTGTGTAACAGACAACAGGCTATGAAATTAACAAATTGTATGAATGTAATATGTATTTTTTTTTTAAAAACTTACTACTAAAATGTAAACCTAAACTATGCAGTTGTTAGCCTGTGTTGTCTAATTTTAACTGGGTGGGAGGGGTGGGGTAGAGGAGGAAAATTATTTTAATCAAAATGGCTGAATGACCAAATAAATTAGTTAGACAGACAGACAGACAGATAGATAGATAGATAGATAGATAGATAGATAGATAGATAGATAGATAGATAGATAGATAGATAGATAGATAGATAGATAGATACATAGATAGATACATAGATAGATACATAGATAGATACATAGATAGATAGATACATAGATAGACAGACAGACAGACAGATAGGAAATTAAAAAGCAATCTCATTAAAATAAACACAGTTGTTTCTTTAAAGTATAGGACTCGATCTTTATTGTCAATTTAACGTGTATTAATGAATGAAAATTTGACAGGTTTTCCATTGAGGGATGTAAGCTTAACACATTTTTAACTGTTAAAATGGTTTATTGATCCTAACTAAAAATACATTTAAAAAACCATCAATGTAATGTAATTTCATTTTTTCCTGAATTAAATGTCCATTAACGCGCCTGATTTCTTATCTCCCTTGTACCGCCTGCCTCCTAATGCACTGTAAAGTTATCTCTCTTGACGCTCGTATTACTTGGCTTACCTCCCCTGCCATCCACTCGATCACCGGCCGATCTTAAACATGTAATTCCACTCGTGCGGTTTAATCCCCCCGCGAACATGGTGACAGTTCAAAAATAAAACTAAGTTGTTGACATAAGAATTGTGGCGAGCTCCGTCTGGGAATAATCAATGATGTCTAAGCCTTGGAAATATATTTTTTTTAAATTTATTTCTGTTGGAAAATCGGAGAATTTATGTAGATAAAAGATGAATCTATTGACATTCTTCTTTTTTTAGAGTTGTGGAGATTTGCATTGTGGAGATGGGGGGGAGGGGTGAGTTATTTAAGGGAAAACGTTTTGAATTTATATCCGTTCTCTCGACGTCAAGTATGTATGTAACAACTGGGGGTTGGGGTATGTGGAGGGAGCGTTGAATCCCTGCTCTTTAACTTCAGCTTTTTTAAAAATTGTATTTTTTAAATTTAAGTTTTTTGCCCATGTAGGAAATGCTTAATAATGAATACATAAGGACCTTAATAAGATAGACCCCCACATCACACATTATAACTTGCCTTTAGCACCCGCAAGCGTTAAACTCACCCCCCCCCCCCCCTCCGCACACACACACACTAATAGTTAATAAGTATTTTTTTTAATATTAAATAAAACATTTGAGCAAGGAACTCGTTATCAATTAGGTGTCTCTACACACTAGACTATGATGTTTAGTCCTATTGTTTTTGCAACAAAATATTCAACCGAGTCTCCCAGTTATAAATAACAGAGTGACCACCCCTAGAAAAAAAAACACAGTTTTCTCCCTTGAGAGCAGCTTATAAAATATCACCTACATCTTTAAAAAAGATGTGTTCTGATTTCTAGTTGCTGCTGCTGCGTCTATTTCACGGAAACTATTGAATAAATAGCGTCACATGACGCTGGCGGGGGTGTGGTCCACACCACGTGACAGAGGCGTAGCGACCCTTCCCATCGCAAACTTTTCGATTTGCACCCCCCCCCTCAAGATTTCGATTTGCACCCCCCCTTCAAACTTTCGATTTGCACCCCCCCCCCCCCTCAAACTTTCGATTTGCACCCCCCTCAACCTTTCAATTTATTTTTCCAACCTAATTTGGCGCCCCCTAAGGTCGGCGCGCGGGGACATATGTCCCCTCGCCCTCCCCCCCCCCCCCCCCCCTCGCTACGCTACTGCCACGTGACACCATTAAGGTGGTGACACCAATTCGAAAAAATTGTAAAATATAGTGTCAGAACGTTTTATCTGTTTAATATAATTTTTTTTTAAAGGAAGGGGGATAAAGGTGACACCAAACCGATTATGTAAAACTATTAGAGAGTGGGAGTTGACAACCTCACTTACTACACGACGCGACACCCGACCTAGTGCCGCCACTGTTGAGTAGTCTAAGCGTTATACAATTTACTGGCAAAGGGCAAAAATGATCATTTTGAAAAGAAACTCTATGGAATGTACAACAGATGACATGTCTGGTAAAACAATTAACCAGTGATTCTTAACCTTGTTGGTGGTACCGAACCCCACCAGTTTTATATGCGCATTCACTGAACCCTTCTTAATAGTTCTATCGTCCGCACTGAGGCACTGACAAAATCCGATCGTGAATCACATGAGTCGGGTGTGTGTCTTGACCTCCACCGAACCTCTGAGACTTAATCACCGAACACCTGGGGTTCGATCGAACACACTTTAAGAACCACTGCTATAGACTCTATAAAAATTTCGCAACTACACATTGTAACTGTACGTAATATGCATTAATATTGGAGATAGCTCGTACTTCGTCAGAAAACATCTGTCATTTTATAGAATGTTTCACTTAGCCGCAGAGGCGTAGCGAGGGGGGGGGGGGCGGGGGGTGCGGACCGCACCGGGTGACACCAAGGGAAAAAAATAGTAACAATATATAGAGAAAAATTTGAGGGAGGGGGTTGCAAATCGAAAGTTTGAGGGGGGGGGGGGGGTGCAAATCGAAAGTTCGAGGGGGGGGGTGCAAATTGAAAATTGAAATTTTGTCCCCGGGAAGACTCGCTACGCCCCTGGGGGGGGGGGGTGACACCATTAAGTGCCGCACCGGGTGACACCCGACCTCGCTACGCCACTGCTTAGCCGGTAAAATATTTGCATATATTGAAAGTTTTTGGGTTTTGTTTAACTGTATTGGATTTTTTTAATGTCCCCTAAACTTAAGTTATCTAACAATTTTTTTAAATATTGATCTAGATTTTGAATATTTAACATGTGCTCTAAATATAAGGGTAATTTTTAAAGTTATTTTTTTTTTGTCCTTTGTGGTGACCGAAAAATAAATGAACTCGGTGGCTTCAGAGTGCCGTACCAAGTTTTTAAATGTCGGCTGTGAACCCAGCAGGTCGTGTTAGTCACAGACCGAGACTAAGACGGGGGATCACAAACTGATGAACTGAAACTGATCGTTTGAAAGCATTTTCTACCAAACGATAAAAAGCGGTTGACGTCTGGCGAAAAAAAAAGAAACATCTTTAGACTTTATGGCAGAAATTATGTGAGTTACTATAGCAGTCGTGTCAGTTACAGTGTTTCTTCCAAACATTTATCTCTGGGGGGGGGGGGGGGGGGGTCATGTTAATAATTAGCATATGCTTGGCAGTAATTATTTTGATTAAATTATTAGGCCTGTTTGTGAGTAATTTTGAGCCATCACGTGACAGTCTTAGCCTATATGTCATTCATGAGCTAGTCATTATGTGGGTGTCATATTATTCAATATTTTTTTTTCTCTCACAATGTAAACACATTTGATTTAAAACAATTAGCAACCTACATATCACTCAATTACTTGCTTCTCTTGTTGTATATTTAAGCCTAAGTACACACACACACACATATATATATATATATATATATATATATATATATATATATATATATATATATATATATATATATATATATACATATAGTCATATAAATAATTAAATAATTGAAGAAATCGTCTCATTTCGTTTAATTCTATAAGCAAGTGAAGTTTTGATGGTGAGTAGTGTATCTACCATCAACAAAATATATTTCTTTTAAAGTTATTTAAATGATAAATGATAAGATTAAGAACTAATTATATTAAAACTCTCATAGACTAAGCAGAGGCAACGCACGTATATAAATCTACAGCACTCTATCTATTTGCTGAGAAATCCTATAAATTTCAATGCAAATCGATTAACTAATACTCAATCTCAACGCCAAAAAAAAATCGATCATTTAAAGGGACAGGAATACCAGCGGGAAAGTTTTTTTTTCAACCGCTGAAGCTGTGCAGATTTTGCAACAACCTCTCACATTTCACATCTATGGACGCGTCGCCAGGCAACCAGATGCGCCATCACCATAGATATACGTTTGACGTCAGGTCCTTCACTAGGCTGGTGATGTAGAACTTTGACAAGGAAGTGCTGTAGATACAAAACGACATTGATAGTTCACACATCGATTTTTTGCTCTCTACTCGTACGTTCTTGGACCATATATATATATATATATATATATATATATATATATATATATATATATATATATATATATATATATATATATATATATATATATATATATATATATATATATATATATATATATATGTGTGTGTGTGTGTGTGTGTGTTTGTGTGTGTGTATGTGTGTTTATTTATTTATTTAATAACAAATAAGTGATTTTTCAAGCTCCATGGAAATGGGAGGGTCCATAAGCTACACATGTATGTGCCCCTAGACTACACATGTATGTATCCATAG